GTGAGTAATTGTCGAAGATATCCTCTTCTTCTTTCTGGGTATAACCCTTGGCCACAAGCCTAGCCTTGTACTTCTCAACAGTACCATCGGGCCTAAGCTTCTTCTTGAACACCCACTTACATCCCAATGGCTGACAACCATAAGACGATCAATGATTTCCCATGTCCCGTTAGCCAAGATGAAATCCATCTCACTACGGACCACATCCTTCCAGTAGTCAGCATCAGGAGATGCATCAGCTTCTGAAATGGAACTGGGGGTGTCATCATCCACGAGGTACACAAGGAAATCATCACCAAAGGACTTTGCAGTACTCTGTCTCTTGCTCCTAACAGGAGCTTCCTTGTCATCCTCCGTGGAACTCTTATCACTTTTATGTTCATAATATTCCATCGGAATAGCAGGTTCAGAAGTCTCATCAGATTCTAGTCTAGAAGTGCTTTGCATATCTCTCATGGGGAAAATATCCTCAAAGAATGTAGCATCCCTAGACTCCATGATCGTACCGACCTTCACGTCGTGTACATCAGATTTCACCACTAGAAATCTATAGCCAACGATATGCTTGGCATAGCCAAGAAAAACGCAGTCCACGGTCTTTGGTCCCAACTTGCGCTTTTTGGTTATCGGCACGTTAACTTTCGCCAAACAGCCCCAAGTGCGCAAGTAAAAGAGTGTAGTTCTTTTCTTTTCCCATTGCTCATAGGGAGTAGTATCATTATCCTTTGTGGGAACTTTATTCAGGATATGACATGATGTCAATACGGCCTCCCCCCACCATGCCTTGGATAAACCCGATGTATCTAACATGGCGTTAACCAAATCAGTTAGAGTATGGTTTTTCCGTTCGGCTACCCCGTTTGACTGGGGTGAGTAGGGAGGCATCCTCTCATGAATAATACCATGTTCCGCACAGAATAAATCAAACTCTTTAGAAAAGTACTCTCCACCACGATCTAACCGAACTCGTTTTATTTTCTTCTCAAGTTGGTTCTCAACTTCTGCCCTATAGACTTTAAAGTAGTGTAGAGCCTCATCCTTAGTATTTAACAAATACAGATAGCAGAATCTAGTGGAATCATCAATCAGACTCATGAAGTATTTCTTTCCACCTTTAGTCAACACACCATTCATCTCACAGAGATCAGAATGTATGAGCTTTAATGGTGCCAGGTGTCTCTCCTTCGCAAGCTTGTGAGGCTTACAAGGTTGCTTAGCTTGCACACACGCATGGCACTTAGAGCCTTTGGCTAAAGTGAAACTCGGGATTAAGTCCATCTTAGCTAGCCGCGTCATACAACTAAAATTTTATGTGACAAAGACGTGAATGCCAAACCTCTGATTCGTTCACATTAGAATGAATTTGGTTCACGACTTTATTACAGAAATTCTCCAGGGAAAGGCGGGACAAACCACCACAATCATATCCTTTTCCAACAAATAATCCATACCGGGATACGACTACTTTGTTAGACTCAAATACTAACTTAAACCCTTCTTTATATAGAAGGGAGCAACTAACGAGATTCTTCTTGATGCCGGGGACATGCTGCACGTTTCTTCAGTTGCACGATCTTTCCCGAAGTAAACTTTAGATCTACCGTGCCAACACTATGAACAGAAGCATGCGCGCCATTCCCCATCAGGACGGAACAATCTCGTGTGACCTGGTAAGAAGAAAACAAAGACACATCAGCACACACATGAATATTGGCCCCAGTGTCAACCCACCAATCGGTGGACTGACAAACTGAAAGTATGGTAAACATATTACCATACCTAGATGCCACATCATTGTTGCTCAGAGTGACATTTACAGACTTGGAGTCCTGTGCTGGCTTCTTGTAGTTGTTTGGGCACTTGTTTGCCCAATGTTCATCTGAAAAGCAAGTCAAGCAGCCATCTATCTTTTTGTCTTTCTTCTTACCCTTCTTCTTAAAGGTAGTATTCTGCTGGACAGAGTTCTTTCCCTTGAACTTGTGGAAGTTCTTCTGCACCACATTGGCTCTAGAAGAACCCTCTGCCACTTTCATGTGTTAGTCCTTTGCTCTCGAGTTCTGCTCAACACTGAGATGATCGATGACATCCTCGACAGAGAATTCACGTCTCAAGTGCTTGAGATAAGTAGCAAATTTCCTGCAACTAGGAGGGAGATTTGCAATAATGCAACCTGCGACAAACTTGTCCGGTAACTCACACTTCAGGAGCTCCAGCTCCTTAGCAATGCACTGTATCTCATGAGCCTGGTCCAATACAGAACGGTTATCAACCATCCTGTAATCATGGAACTGCTCCATGGCATACAACTCACTGCCAGTATCAGTTGCGCCGAATTTGACTTCGAGTGCATCCCACAAGTTTTTGGCAACCCCCATATGAATATATGCGTCAACCAACTTGTCTCCAATCACACTCAGAACTGCTACCAAAAAGATTGTGATTGCCTCCCTAAACGCCTTCTCCTGTTCAGGAGCAATCGTTTCTGTAAGGGACACACCACCAACCAAGAACACGTTCATCGTTGTGAGCCACAAGGTGGTCCTAGTCTGCCAACACTTAAAATGTGTCCCAGTAAACTTTTCCGGTTTCAGAGTTGCAGCAAAGCCTTGAATCGAAAAGTGCCTAAAATAAGGTTTTTGGATTGTTGAAAATATTAGCACTTTTCTGATTAGACTAATCCACGAGTAAACGGTAAGCATGGCATAAAAGGTATGCATCTCATAGCTATACCTAAGCATACTAGCATGTACAGAACATAGAAGCGAACCATCTATGAGCAGCACATATACGGCTAGTACAAGTACGAGTAAATGAGGGATGAACAGATCATACCCTCCGGTTGGCCAGGCCAACACGGCGGCGGCAGCAGCCGCCTCGGCGTCGTCCGTGGCTTTCTTCTTGGCGGCAGCGGCCATGGTGTCGATGCAAGGGAAGTAGTGGAAGCAGAGGCGAATGGAGTTGGGGACAAATCAGGAGCAGTCGCGTCGAGACGCTCCCCAAAAACCTTATTGTCGTTCTCCCGGGAAGGATCTCGAACGACAGGGTTTTGGAGGCACCTGCTCTCCCGACCAGCCGTGCACGCGGTCGTCGGGATGGGGTCATCGGAGACAGCACAGAGTGAGGAACAGTAGATGACGGCTAGGTTACGCGAGAGGGAGTGAGTGAACCGAACTAGGTCACTCCACTGGGCACATCCTTCTTATATAGGCCATCGGGTAGGAAGTCGTGGGCCTGGGCGGAGGCCCACGACCGAGTCAACGTACTCCCGGGAAGGGTCGCACACCCGCGAACGGAGTCGACGAATCCCGGCAACGCAAGTCAGCCCACAGTCCAACGTCTCGGACAGTGGCCCACCTGTTAGCGACTCGTTAATTAATCTCTGATTAATTAATTCGTTTCTGAGAGGCAAAAATAAGCTCCGACTCGGCTTATTCCCGCAACCCGCAGCGCGCGCGTGTCGTGACGAGGCGGGCGGCGGAGGAGGAGCGTGTGCGTACCACTCCTCTTTCCAAGCTCCCAATGACAAGTGGTAGAGCAGCCCTTATAAAGTGGTCTCAACTCTCCTCAACTAGCAAGGTGGGACTAAACTTCCCACCACCTGCCATCTCATGCATGTGCCTCAAGATTAACCAGGGATTAGTGTCTTATATGGGCCTAAGCCCATCCATAATCCAACAACCCAAACGGACGAAAACAAGCCAAAACGGACGTCCATCTGGGGTCGTGCGCTGGGGTTGGCCTAACGACCGATGCCTTTGGGCCTCTCCGATAGAAAAATCGATAAATCCTACGGCAGTTTGGTCGACCGACACATTTTTTTTCTTAAATGAGCTTTAAGAGCCCCAGCCTCTGCATCAATCGATGCAAACGTTTATCTTTATTTATTATTCAATATAAGTCTAACAAAAACATACATCAAGCCACCGGAAGCCACCACTCACACCTACAAAACTCAATAATGTATAGTGCTCTCATTCCTCGTATCTAAAACCGATGCCGTCGTCGATCCATCCACATAACGTATCGAGACCCATAGCCGGTGCAGTAGACCTAATGCGTACACCACATGCACGCGTTTTAGCTGCCGCCATCATCATCGAACTGTTGACCCATCTTCAGGAGAGAGATCTGCATCATCCCTGCCAGTTTATCCATCCGTCGACGCCACCACGGGCCAAACGGCACCACCACCCCACGCTCGTCCGTCCAGATGCGACGATTCTGGAAGATCTGTCATGCGTAACACCTGCCGACCAGGCATGATACAACGTAGCACCTATCGGCCAAACATAACTTGACATCTCCATCGAAAGCTTCGTGCAAGACGAAGTCGTTCCACCTCTGCCTCTGTCTTCCAACTCTGCTCCACAAACGATGCTCCAAAACGACACCGCAGTAGCGCCATTGTCCGATCTGGAAAACCAGATCCTAAGATTTTTCCGGAGGAGCACGAGTGGGACGACAGTAATTACAATGATGTCCTCATCAAGGTAACGACGCAGAACGCCGCCATCGCCTATCATCGGCTCGGTTTTCACCGACAATCATGTCTTCCCGACTCACAGCCGAAACTAGATGACGGATCTCGAGATCTGGCCACCCAGCTTCAGACCGACCATCCCGACGAAAGAGATAGCCACCACCGCCAGCGGCACCGTGCATCTTTTTGAAAGCGCGCCGTCTGCGCATGCGAGATATACAAGTCGTACCACCTAAGCATGTAAGGAGAGCAGGCGAGCCATTACGTGCACCAACACGCGTCCGAATACTAAGAGCAGGCACGAGCAAGGTGCCACGATTGCCTGCACCTGGCCGGCCTGCCTTGTGCCACGCACGGTCCGGCTGTTTGGGCCTTGAATGCACTCCTTTATATATGTACCACCTGTCATACATGTTACCTAAGCTACCGCGCGCGTCTATCAACAAGATCGAGTGCAAGCGACAGCAGATCGAGTGGTCAGAGCAAACGGTGAGCGCGCGCTACGTGATTGGTGAAGGAAATGGCGACCATCAAAGCCAAGGTCCAGGACGCCGCCTCCTCCGCCAAGGCCGGCATCGATAAGGCGAAGGCCACCGCCGGCGAGAAGGTCCGTCCGCCGAGCTGAGTTGTTTCTTTTTAGATTGCCGGCCACACTACAGTCTACAGAGGTGTGTGCTAGCTGCGACTTCCGCTTATAGCTAACCTTGCCCGGACGATGTGCGTGCGCGCGCTGCTGCTGCAGGTAAAGAAGGCCACGACGACGGACCCGGAGAAGAAGCGCGAGGCGGAGGAGAAAAAGGAGGACCGCATGCACAAGGTTAACTCCGACGAGCGCGATGAGAAGGGGGACCACGCCGCCGAGAGGTCCGGGAGGCGCACCATCGTCACCGGCACCTAGTTAGCTTCTAGCTAGGCCCGACTACAGCATGTAGTAGTAGCGTAACCTCGGTTTTAAGCGAATCGAGGAATCAAAATAAGCGGCAGTCCGTCATAGAATGTGGTTCGATTCGATCCTTCATCTTCTAGGCTTATAAATGTGATGCTTCGAAAAATGCGACCCGTCTACATAGTCCTCTACGATCATATATACTCGAACAATCTTTCACCACAGGTCTATTGTGATGATGTCTGCTTTATCTTTTCTTCTTCTCTTTTGCTAATCGATGATGATGTCTGCTTCATTGCCGACGGGCTACGTTCTGTAATCGATGAGACACTCAAAGACAGAGAAATTCCAACCGACCGGTGTTTGAAGTTTTTGGTCATTGTGTTGTGTTGGTGGTTGCAGGGATCAACACTCGTATAAAAAGTTTTTCAACCGAGTGGTGTTCGAAGTTTTTGTCAGGCGTTCGAAGTTTTTCGCCATTCTGTCAGTGGTTGCACGGATGAAGAAGGATTTTTCTGCAAATTTCCTTTGTTCGGAGCGTTTTCTGTACTCCCTTCTGTGTAGAGAAATCCAAGGAGGTACAGGATGTGTTTCTACTATCTACTACCACTATAAAAGAAAGAGAGGGCGGAGAACCCTCATCCTATTCGTCGAAACCTGCAATCTGATGGTCTACATCCCTCCAGCATACTAAACGCGTTTTACGCTTTAATTACCCATCATTGCCATTACTTAATTAATTACCAATCATTGCCATTGGGTTAACATCGTTCCCCGACCACGTCGCTCCCCTCTACCCTCACGCAACCAGCAATTTTGGCACCGCCCCACCCCTCGTCCGCCCTCTTGCTGCAACCGCGCCAGCCACCGCCTCGACCGCCGCCGGAGAACCTCCGCCCGTGCCTCCCACGCCACGCACCGCTGCGCCATCCGCACCCGCGCCTCCGCTCCGGGCTTCCTGTTGATAAACTCGAAGGCCGCGGAAAACGAGAAGACCACCAACCCTCCTCTGACGCATCTGAGAGCAGGTCGTCGCCCCGGCCGATCCACTTCCGACGGACGCAAGAGTAGGCCGATGTCCTCGCCGCTCCTCCGACGGAGACGAGAGCAGGACGGTGCCCCCGCCGCTCCTCCTCTGCTATCGCATGTAGGCCGCCAGTCCTCTTCCGTTGGACGCGGGTGCAGGCCGACGCCCCCGCCGCTCCTCCTCTAGTGGACGCGAGAGCAGACCGCCGCCCCACCACTCTTCCTCCAACGGATGCGAGAGCGGGCCGCCGCGCCGCCGCTCCTCTTCTGCTACCCCAGGTACCTCGCCGCTGAACAAACATCACGGCCGCCGCCCGCGGCTCCTCACCGTCTGCATCCATGAAGATGCCACTAATTAAGGTGGCTTAGCGCTCTGCGGGTCGATTGATTTGTAGGATTTGAGTTCATAGGATTTTAATGGTTTCTTAGCGCTCTATTTGGAGGTAATTTCTATCAATTTCTGATTCAAATTCTTGTGGTTCTCCAATCTTGGGCAGTGTCACCAGAATAGGAGGAGCGCAGCGGAAGGAGCATCAGGCACATGCTTGTGGTGACCGCGAAGACCGGAAAAGAGATGGATGGGTTCTCGCCAAGTTTCTGCGGCTCACAGTTTTCATCCAGCTCTCTACAATAACTAGAAGATGAGTTATGACAACTTTTTACATAAAAGGTTGGATCTTTGAGCAGTTTGTTGTTGGCTGTGCCTACTTACTAATTTGATTTGATAAGTCAACTGGGGAACAGCCGATTGGGTGTGAATGAAGTTGTTAATATGATTTTATTTGTGTGTGCTAATGATAGATCTTGCATTTCTCTACTATATTTGTTTGAATGAGCTACTGCAGCGAATAAGGCCGACGTGCACCATTGTAAACTTTAGATGAAGCTTACAGCACGGCAAGGAATAACCTTGATTTATGCATGAGTATTGTACCTGTACTTGTAAGTGCATCTAGTGCCACCCCTAATTGGTTTTGGAGTATTGACGATAAACCTAGTTGAGGGACTAATGTGTTTGTGAGAATTGCAGGATAACACAGGTAGAAGTCCCTCATTGATTCGGTTTTCCTACCAGAGATGACCCCTAAAAATGTATGAAGACATTGAAGTCAAAGGTGATATGTGAAGATATTCACATTGAAGACTATGACAAGAGAAGACATCGCATGAAGCCTATGGAGCTCAAAGACTCAGATCTTTCGTAGTTCTTTTTCTTCTTTATTGAGTCATAGGAACCACCGTACTGTTAAATGGGGTCCAAGAGAACCAGTCAGAATGAGTGAAGTGATGCTTAACCAAAACCTATGTCTTCGAGTGAAGACTATGAGAGTGAATCTTGTCCAGAGTGGGACAAGTCAGCTTTGCTTGTAGCCCAAGTAAAGTTGCCGTGTGTGCTTAAAATCTGACCGTTGGAACACGTGTCAGTTCCTTAGTGACCCAGGGTCATTTTGGACAAATCAGGTCGGGTTGCCTTGTGGGTATAAATAGCCCACCCCCTACAACCATAAACGGTTGGCTGCTCAGAGTTAGAGGGAGACTGGTTATGGGCGAGGTGACGATGGTAGATAAGAAGGCTGGCAACTTCAACAAAGTATATACGTGTTATTAATGTGTACCTCACAAGTACTCCTGGTAGCACCTAGGTATTGGATACCGATTCAGTTGCTATTATTGGTGACTTGAAGCAAAAGCTACAGACTAGACGGAGACTGGTTATGGGCGAGGTGACGATGGGTGTTGGAAGTGTTTTCAAAGTTGATGAGATCACCATCGCACGCCCCATCTGCCTTCGGGATTAGCATTGAACCTAGATAAATGTTATCAGGTGTCTACATTGAGTATGAATATGATTAGATCATGTTCATTGCAATACGGTCATTCATTTAAGTTAGAGAATAATGGTTATTCTGTTTACATGAATGATACCTTTCATGGTCATGCACCCTATGTGAATGGTTCATTGAATCTCGGTCATGGTAATACACATGTTCACGCCGGAGTTGATCATGGGATGATGTGTTATGGAACGAGTAAAGAGACTTGCCGGTAACGAGATTGAACAAGGTATCGGGATACCGACGATCGAATCTCGGGCAAGTACAATACCGCTGGACAAAGGGAATTGAATACGGGATGATTAAGTCCTTGACATCGTGGTTCATCCGATGAGATCATCGTGGAACATGTGGGAGCCAACATGGGTATCCAGATCCCGCTGTTGGTTATTGACCGGAGAGTTGTCTCGGTCATGTCTGCATGGTTCCCGAACCCGTAGGGTCTACACACTTAAGGTTCGATGACGCTAGGGTTATAGGGAATAGATATACGTGGTTACCGAATGTTGTTCGGAGTCCCGGATGAGATCCCGGACATCACGAGGAGTTCCGGAATGGTCCGGAGGTAAAGATTTATATATGGGAAGTCCTGTTTTGGTCACCGGAGAAGTTTCGGGTGCTATCGGTAATGTATCGGGACCACCGGGAGGGTTCCGGGGGTCCACCAGGTGGGGCCACCTGCCCCAGAGGGCTGCGTGGGCCAAGTGTGAAGGGGGGCCAGCCCCAGGTGGGCTGGTGCGCCCCCCACCAGGGCCCAAGGCGAAGAGAGAAGGGAAAAAAGGGAAAACCCTAGGCTCAGATGGGCCTAAGGCCCACCTAGTGGTGCGCCCCCCTCTCTCCCCCCTTGGCCGCCCCCTAGATGGGATCTAGGGCTGGCCGCCACCCCTAGGGGTGGAAACCTAGGTGGGGGCGCAGCCCCTCCTTTTCCCCTATATATAGTGGGGGTTTGGGGCTGCCATAGACACGAGAACATCTCCTTCTTGGCGCAGCCCTACCCCTCTCCCTTCTCGTCTCTTGCGGTGCTTGGCGAAGCCCTGCTGGAGTACCACGCTCCTCCACCACCACCACGCCGTCGTGCTGCTGCTGGATGGAGTCTTCCCCAACCTCTCCTTCTCCCCTTGCTGGATCAAGGCGTAGAAGACGTCACCGGGCTGTACGTGTGTTGAACACGGAGGTGCCGTCCGTTCGGTACTAGGATCATCGGTGATTTGAATCACGACGAGTACGACTCCATCAACCCCGTTCACTTGAACGCTTCCGCTTAGCGATCTACAAGGGTATGTAGATGCACTCTCCTCCCCCTCGTTGCTAGATTACTCCATAGATTGATCTTGGTGATGCGTAGAAAATTTTGAATTTCTGCTACGTTCCCCAACAGTGGCATCATGAGCTAGGTCTATGCGTAGTTTCTATGCACGAGTAGAACACAAAGCAGTTGTGGGCGTCGATTTTGTCAATTTACTTGCCGTTACTAGTCTTATCTTGATTCGGCGGCATCGTGGGATGAAGCGGCCCGGACCGACCTTACACGTACTCTTACGTGAGAATGGTTCCACCAACTGACATGCACTAGTTGCATAAGGTGCCTAGCGGGTGTCTGTCTCTCCCACTTTAGTTGGATCAGATTCAATGAAAATGGTCCTTATGAAGGGTAAATAGAAATTGGCATATCACGTTGTGGTTTTCGCGTAGGTAAGAAACGTTCTTGCTAGAAACCTATAGCAGCCACGTAAAAACTTGCAACAACAATTAGAGGACATCTAACTTGTTTTTGCAGCATATGCCTTGTGATGTGATATGGCCAAAAGGATGTGATGAATGATATATGTGATGTATGAGATTGATCATGTTCTTGTAATAGGAATCACGACTTGCATGTCGATGAGTATGACAACCGGCAGGAGCCATAGGGGTTGTCTTAATTTATTTATGACCTGCATGTCAACTTAAACGTCATGTAATTACTTTACTTTATTGCTAAAGCGTTAGCCATAGTAGTAGAAGTAATAGATGACGAGACAACTTCAAGAAGACACGATGATGGAGATCATGATGATGGATATCATGGTGTCATGCCGGTGACAACGATGATCATGGAGCCCCGAAGATGGAGATCAAAAGGAGCAAAATGATATTGGCCATATCATGTCA